CATAGGTACAATCAACGAGCAATAACGATACGAGCAAAAATAACGCCTATTTGATAACAAATAACACAAATCCTTAATGACAAGAACACAAAACGTTTACGATATACTCATACAGAGATCGCACACAATCTATCACTAACTAATAATAAGCAAATTTCAAAACAAATCAGTATCCATAGAAATGTTTCTCCGAAACATTATCGTCATCATTATATTAATTTACCCGCTAACAACGAATCTGGTAATTCTCAGGCAGAATTCAAGTGAACCATTTCGTTTTCGAACGATGGTTCTGAAGAATTCTCATGAGAATTACCCTGCAAACAAACACGAGAATGAATCGATTCTCGTATGATTCAACAAAATATTTCAATGAAATGAGCGATTTCAGGAAGACGACACTCAGAAAATCACTGCATAGAAGATAACAACAAATCTTCAAATCGTATTTTAAAAAACAATCAAACAATGATCAACAACATAGGAGGAATGAGAATATTTAGTATTATTTAGACGATGGTTATGTGAAGAAACAAAAAATTGATAGTTAATATTTAATGGCAATTTTCCACATCGTATTACACCTAACAAAACAACCTTCTTGCTCTCTTCATGATCAGTAACAATCGTTTCTTCGATGCTCTTTTCTCTTTTTGTTTCTACTAAAACCTTTTCAGTCCTATCCAAGCAAAACATTTACAAACCAATTCACCAAACAACACAAGCTCAATACCTGCCGTTCATTGTCGATGCCATTATGCATAATTTTCTTCTAATTTTTCCTTCTTCAGCAGTCGTCTCATGTCAAACTTGCGCATGTTGATTGACGTATAAGCGCCGTCGAAGATACGCTCCGAGAAGCCACGTCCCACAGCCAACGCGTGTTGCACACCTCGATTGCCAAAACCGCACATCATATGCAGATTCGTATACAGCAAATGCTCTCCGATTATCGGTGAATTATCGAACACGTTCACATCCTCATAACCAGCCCAAGCATTCTTAATCTGAAAGCAGACTCATTACGACCATATTCCCTGGGATCAAAAATTGTCGAGAACATCAAATGCTAATGCTTTATAACGATAACAGTAGCATTCGCTAACGATGATAGTAGCATTCGTAAGCTAGAACAAAGAACAATGTCACAGAAAACTAAGCAAGTATTCGCATACTTTTAGATTCTTGAACGATGGGACACGTCTCGCTAGAACTGGCCATATTCGATCGTAGAAAAAGTCATAGTCAACTTCCAGATTACTGTGATCGATTTGCTCATCTTCTTCCTTAAAACATGAAGGAATTAATGAAAAACAAAACGCATATTTCATCAATGAGATGAAACTTAAAGGAAAAGTATTGGAAATATCAACGAAAACACAGAAGAAATGTTTGCATATCTCTCAGTAAGTGAACATTCAACAGATAACAGTCAACAAGGAATGGAACAATTCAAATTGTTTACTCTACACAAATACAGCTCTCATCAAGAAATATTGCCAGACCTTCGACGGGATTTTGCCACAAATGAACGTATTTCCAGCATCCTCCTGCAAACAATACACACCACTCGGATCCACCAAAGCTGGCATATCTATCGGTGGTACGTCAGGTGCATGCACCACAAATAGCATTCGCTTACGGGCTTCAATTGGAAGCGGTACAGCCAGGAGGCCTTTCCCTTTGCCTGAATAAAATCACTTGCTCTTCACATGCTATCAAACATCAACGCATCCAATACACTCTTCCTCTACTATCCACAACTCGAATTTACACAACAACGGATGGATCATTCAGAATTAACGTTCACATCAATAAAGTTAACAAGAACCAAAAGTCAAGCATCAGTAAAACGATGGCGACAAAATTTAAACTTACAAATGTTAGAATGAACCAAACAGTAAAATGCACTAAGAATACTGAACGTAATTTTACAAATCAAAACAATCATTCAAAAATCCGGAAGGAGTGACCCATCGAAATGAAGTGAATAGCTGAAAAGAACTCACCAATTCCAGCCATTTCAGCAATTTTGCCAGCCCAAGGTCCAGCCGCATTCACGACGAAATGCGCTCGAATCGGTCGCGCTGATGCATCGGTCATTTGCGGTCTCACCTAGAGCATTAATGAACAATCTTTCGAATATTTCCTTTCCATCGTTACCTCTCATTAATCAAAAAATTCTCATGCATGTATAATTAACATTTACAAGCACATATCTGATCTGATCTAAACTGAATCACGAAATCAAAACAGGATGCATCAGTTGTCTTTAACTCAATATTCTCATCTTCAACGACGACTCAAATTTGTCTTATTATCAATTTGAATTTCAAAAGAAGTCTAAACAAAAAAGGCGATTAGATCACGGACATAAACTCCTCGAATCTGCTGTCGTGCTTCCTTCATCTCATCTGCCACATCATCCTCTTCAAACCCATGCAATTCCCTCGTTCCATACGCTCGTTCGAACAAAAAACCTTAACGTCGACAATCAACACACCGCAAAAACATCCAAAATATTCCGACTGAAGCGACCTATCCTTTACAACAAAAATTAAATTGCTGATCCATTATGAAATTTCACTCAACAACTCTCGTAAATATACGTCCTCTGAGATTATATTATTTGGTCCATTGGAACGAACATAAACAGAATATCTTAAAACAAATGCCCAACTCACTATAACTGAAACAACAAACCTTCCACTTCGCCTTTCACATACTGCACACCAAGAGTGATGTTCTTCTCACGAATTGCAGACAATAACTGCCATGCGTCAATACAACCTTCGTTCTCCAAACCTGAATTCACGTCGTTACTGAATCGATTCAACTCTACAAGAAACATTTCCAAACTCCAAAACACATGGCATATTCTAAGACAAACAACCAAACAAACCCACCGTACGTCCCCAACAGCACATCGTCGAAATTCATGAATGGGAATTTGGCAATCAATTCATCACGATTCAATAACGCTATTCGAGCCCCTTTTTCACTAAAATTCTTCTTTATGCAATCGTACTCGCAAACAATCTCATCAGATAGTTAAAAAACAACCGAATCACTAAATAAACAGAACGGCAAACTATCACATTTGCAGTTTCCAGTTGCTTCGCAATCGTTCAGCATCCTCGGGTGTACACGCCAAATGCATATAGCCCTTCGGAAGAAAATGAATATCCGGTGGATCATTATCTAAACCACTCACGAATATTTTCTCGTTTATACCGGCAATTATAGGAAAGATTTGGAATCACTGATAAAATATTCAAGATGAAACTCATTCAAACACAGCAATTTGATATTCCATCTCTTCAAATGTCCGTGAGAATTTAAGAATCTTAAAACGAAAATAGCATTCTTCCCTTACCGAGTATACGAAGATGTTCACCAGCATGTCTTAGAAACTCAGTTGTAAATAGAGACATTTCAATATGTTCAGGCAAACAGAACTGTTGCGTTATGCCACCACAAGAAAGCATGGTTGAGGATTCAGAGAACTGAAACAAACTTTCGATATCAATTCAGAAGAAATCATTAACTATCACTAGAACCAATGTAATCAAATGACTAAGAATTTAGTTTCATACGCCACCAGAAGAAGGGTACTGCAATACAAACAAATCAAATGATCACTCACTCGATCATTGTTTTCAACGACCGTCACCTTGAAGTCTTCATCTCGGAATCGTTCCTTAATCCAATAGGCTGTTGAAGAACCAGTCAGACCTCCACCAATAATCAACACCTGAATGCACGTCAACATTCGTTAGGGTCTCATCAATATGAGATCACAACAAAACGAAACCGTTGAAAACGGTCATATGAAACATAAATTGTGCGATCGATATAAAACAAATGTGAATGAAAGAAGTAGAAAAGAAAAGCGAACCTCAGATCTATATGGGAACATTTCGTTATCCAGTGGAGCATGTTTCATATGCGCTATTGGATTACGCCTTCTGAACGCATCATATTTGGCCTACAAAGTTATACTTTAATTCAGCATTAATCATAGTGAAAATTTTCACAGAATTTCTAACGTTCACAGCAGATCGTAACAAAAGGATAAAAAGAAACTGGATTAGCCTTATACAACTTTGAGAATATCAACTAATCTGAATTAGAAATCCTTCTGAATGACCCGACATTCCACAAAGACTCACCTCCATATATCTCCGTTTCCAGCGCCTGAAGTCATACGTCAAACCATGCCATACACGTTTAAGCACATCCTCCCCTGGCTCGAAATGTCGTTCATTCTCGAAATCTGAATTAACAATTTGCTTTGAATGTTTTCGAATTCTTCAAACCCCTTTCGGTTTTCACCCATGATATTGCGTTAGAACAAACTTGAATACATCCAACTGAACAGAACATAATTCTGCATCTGACATACAAACAAAAAACTGTGCGTGAATAAGTTAACACCAAATGAATAGCCAAATTTACTTTGCCATCTCATAGGTGCTGACACATGAAGAGCAGCAGATGGAATGAGTGCACCGAACAGCTTCGGAAACGATGCTGCCGAAGCTGTCGGCATAAACAGCCGTTCGATCATATAGCACTGTGATTGGTTACGACGGATGAACTGACCATATGATCCTGAAAATCAACGTGGCACAAATAATACCGAACGATCAAATACACTTGATGAAAGTCACGAGAGTTGCACGCATCATTTGACCCAACTAGAGCTCACGAAATGTATACAGGAACCATGAGTGGTGTTTCTTGATAAGTTATATAAGGTGGATATAATGATAAAGTGAAATCAAATGCAAGAAATCCTATAAAAATACATCAAATCCTTCATGAATTTTGGAAAGTCAGCTAAAAATCGTCGTTATCAGATATTTAACAACAACCAAACAATTAGCATGGGATGAAACTTTTAAATACTAAATTGTTTAAAACCTTAATAATTCCTTCGATATTTTACAAGCATTCATATTTCCGTGATAAGCGGAAGTAGTTAGCTCCAAATAAGCTTGTCGTACTCTGCCAAATCGCTCGCTTGGATTAATTTATGT